CACTCCACTTGTGATAAGAGCCGTTAGCAGCTAACCCGTGTAGCCAACTTTAGCTAAAGGTTTATTAGCTGTGGTTAAATGTTCGTGTTCATGCTACATGGCAGCTATATGTTTTGTTTCATGTTTATGTAGTGTGGTTGTGTATTTATTTTATTTTCTCTGTATTTTCAGTTTTACAAGACGTTCCAAAGCTACAAAAGAACAGTAAATGCCAAGGAAAGCAAACCTTGTGTCTTTACTGAACATAGCTCGAACATGTTAACTGGCTGTCTAGCAGTGCAAAGCTGACGCAGTGTGAGGGCAGCATACCCACGATCACTCAAATTTACTCTACACCTTTAATATTAAGGAACTAAAAAACCTACATCTCCTGCTGATTTCACCCTTTTCCTACTTTTACCTTCACATTGTGTTCACACAAATTCTTCTCTTTTTGCAAAGATCATTTTTTAATTGATCATGTCATTTTGAATGGATCAAGTGTCAATTTATAAAGTCTCTGCAGTCATGATTTCATGTTAAGTATTGCTTCTAATATTTGTAGTAGGATGCATTATGATCAGCTTGTAAACACAGCTAGTGCTTGAGGGCAGGCAGCACAGTGTGAATACTAAACATCACAAAGCTGGAGAGCACAGCTGTGTCCTCCTTAGCGGACACGATTGGTTGATTTGATTTCTTTCATTTCATCAGGAAATCCCGTTAAGAGCAGGAGCTTGCTTCCAAGAAAGGTCTGAGTTCAAAAATATATAGCTACATATTCACAGTTTATTCACTCTCGACAGCTAGAAAAAGATTGTAAGGGATACTTTTGTGTTCCTTTAAATAGATGGAGATCCAGGTTTGCTGGTGCCTTCTGGGTGCCAGTGATGCATGTAAAGACAGCCGTACACATGCAGAATAAGTACTTTATTCCTTTTTCAAATGAACAAAGGCAAATAAATCCGATGACATGAGCTTTGATATGAAGTTTCAATAATAAGATGCAGACAAGACAAGATTTACATATTTTCAGCTATTTTAAATGACATTGATCTGACAGAATGATTATTGATGGAAAAGTTGAAAGTTCTTGGCTCTACATGACCTTTGCTCACATCGCAAGCAGGATTTTCAGTGTTAAGTAGTAAATATCAGGCAGAGTTTGGAAGGTGGCTTCAGGTTTTGCGGGGGGGAGGTGAGAAGAGTCACTACATCAGAGAGGCCCCTCAATTAAGATCAAACGGCTTTTTTATGTAAGGGTCCCAGTGTCTGAGGTTGTCTGCCAAAAAAAGAGAGTGCAGCTAATTCTGGTGCGCATGGTAATCATGTTTTTGATCAGACATCTGTGATTTGATTTGGTGAGGAGGCTATTTGTGATCTGTTTTCTTTTGAGGATCCTTTTGATCAGAAACATCAGAGCGCCGCTAACATTTGAATATGGATTGCTCTTCTGATAGCGTTGCCATTTTAGGTAAACGTGCTCCAGTCAAGTTAAGAACAACATCAATGAATAACAACTGATCATGATTTACGAGTGCTAGTTTGTATGTGTCTTTAACGCTGCACCTGATCATCAGCTGTGGGGTAAACCGCAATAAAATGTACCTTTCACAGACTGAATTTGTGAAACATTGACTGTCTGTATGTGATATAAGTGATAATGTGTACAGTGTGCATATTGATGCCTCACTACCACCAGGGCACCATCACGTCATTCCCATTACCCCCTCATTATCACTGTGGCTACTTTCTGCATTGCTCTGCTTTGCCACCCTGATCTAACCACCCACTCGTCTCCCAACAAATGGGAAACCCAACTGGCAGCACGCCATGACCACATTTGTGCTGCCACAGACTGCCATTATAGTGAGCAGTGACCCCTGACATTCCAGAAAGCTTAGCAGAAGTGATTCTATCTCAGAAATTACCCTTGTAGTTATGAGGTCCTTGCTTAAAATGTTAAGCTTTAGCTGTATGTACCTTGAGGTAAAGTAGTAATCTCTTGTTATGTGTTTTGTGTGTGTGCGTTACATAATTTGCTGGGTGTAATGCAGCTTTCCTCAGTACATTTGATTAAATGAACAAGTATTGCTGTAGATCTGCATGTTCCCATGGTTTTGTACATCTCCTGCATAACTACTGGTGTCAATTTGCCCTCTTAAGTGCCTCTAACTTTAGATCATCTTTCAAGATTTTCTATTTTTATATACTTGTTGCATAATGTTCAATATTTTGCCATTATCACTTGTCATTCTTGCTTTAAATGCTGCTGCATCTCCAGGGGTTGCTACGGGCTACAATCTCCAGTGTGTGTGTGCGTTTTATGTGTTTGACTGTGCCTGTATGTTGATGTGTGTATTGATTGACACACAGGCCAGCTGGGGTTCCTTGCCTGTTAAATGTTTGATTGCACCCAAACTTCCTGGCGGAGGAGTGTTTGGGCGCACAGAGGGACAGAAGTCTGGATCACATGAGCATAAATGAGATGAGCAGATGTTGGTCAGATGTGACCGAGGAGGGGAGGGCAGGCGTTAAGGATGAAGAGAGGAAAAATAGAAAGAAAGAAAGAAAGAAACGAGCCCAGATAGCTGGAGCAACTCACCATCCCCACACTGACAGCTTTGTTCACCTCCTCTCAGGAGTTAAGCGTTACTCTCCCTCCTCCTTTTTTTACACACACTAATACACTCCTCCTCTCCTCCCTCCATCCTCCTTCCTCTGCTGCCTCCCTCCTCTCTCTCTTTGAAGTCAGGACAGTATGCAGGAAGCAAGCCGGAATCGATTGCTCCATGCATTAGGCCAGGAATGTGTGACACCCTCCTCCTCTTCACCCTCCTCTTCCTTCCTCCTTCATCCTACTGACACATCCTTCATTTATTTACCCCCCTCCACCATCCACATAATACACTACTATTATTTTAGCTGAGAGCCCTACTTTACTAATTAATAAGCTTTAATTAAGTATATAGAAGAGCAGAAGGTTAGTGACTAGAGAGGTTAACAGATCTTCTAAGGAGCCTCTACCAGAAGACTGTGCCTCTAATCTAAGGTTACTGTGTTGGTTGTCTCTGCTTTGATAAATGAGGAATGAGAGAAACGTGTTCTTGGTTAAACTGAACAGAACGTTCTCTCTCTGTGCTTGTTCTCTCTTGTCATGTGCTTTTCTTTGCTTATGAAAAGAAAAATCACTTTGTCCGGGAACACACTTAATAAAAGGAAAGATCAAATAAAATGAAGCAGAGTTTCTCTGCTTTGCTCTGTGGCTGTAGCCCGCCCTGCCTTAGAGTGTAAATAACCTTGCGAACTTGTCTTTAGCTGGGAAGGTAGTCAATCAGTCACAGAGTCTGCTGTTCAGTCAGTAATCCAGCAGTGTGAGTCATCCACCTACTTCAGTCTGCCAAGTTGCAACAGGCTCAAGGTCTACTCCACTGACAGAACAATGAGACAGGACGAATGTTGGCTAACTCTGAACATTATGTATCACCACTGCATATTAGCAAGGCTTATTAACACCTATGATTTATTCTGTCTCACACTTTGATTGCTGCATATTTCGAACATGACAGTAAAGCAGGAGAGATATTTAGCGCTCCATCTCTGGTTTGTTGTTAGCATTATTAACAGCTGAAACTTTAGCACCATTTTTCACTTACACTTCAGTTGAGGCTTCAACAACATCTAGAACTCCAGTTCACATTTCAGTCTAATATTATGCTTACATTTCATCTGTTTGATAAGTTGCTCAATGTATCAGACAAGGCGATTTTAAAGTTAGAAATTGTTGCCGTGACTTGCAGAGACATGCAGACTACACTTTGGTCACCGACAAATCAGGATGAAGTTGCCACGAACCAACTAGCAAAAACAAGAGTGTAGACAAATGATGATGAGACGGATGCAGGTAATCTTGTATTAGGAAAAGCCTAAAAAGAAAAAGGAAAAAAATGGCAGCCGATTAGTCCACTGGTTTTAGGCACAGTACAGTATTTTTATTTCACCATGTTTGGATGGCCGCTTTAGGTCAGTGTCCTGGACACATTGTAGATGTCACGTGTCAAGAGAGAAAGTAAAAAAATCCGACATGCTCGTCTTTGTCAGGACTTTGTGTGGCGTCCCACAAAGTCATTGGTTGTCATCTGCTTTAAAAAACAATAGATTCTACAGTATCATTCTACATTACATTATACAAATAACATATATTGGTGGAAGGTTGTTGGATAAGGTGTGTAGATAGGCACAAATGAAATTGTAACAGTTGTGTACCTTGCTGCCCCGGAAAGAAAATAAAAGCATGGTTCTGCGATGTTATGACGCTGCCCCTCTGCCTGTCGTCATCACTGCAGAGTTGGTCGGGATAGTAGATGCTAGTTAGCAACTACAAGACTGGCTACACTTAGCCTGAAACCAGAGGACTTCAGATTACCAATCTCTTTCAAAGAGTTTGACACCTCCACAAATATATCAGCATTCGGTTACTTAATTATCAGGTCAAATACATTAGATTTCCCACATGGAAGTAGTTCCAGGAGACCATACCCCAGGTTCCTTCAACTGCTTCAGCTACTTTCAGTACACGTTTAGTGTTCCAGCTTCAGGTCTCGTCATCCATCCTCGGTTAAAACATTTCAGAAGCTCTAACAAATAAAGATTTAAGACATCAAAGCTGCTTTAAATGTTTTACTGGTCTTGCACTGTAATAGAGCAGCCTGAAATTTTCTTTAAAAATATTTAGCCTTGTCTTCTTGCACTCTTTGCTTCCCGTATTTTTCCAGCAGGGTCCTGAAGGAAACTGGGCACTTAGGGGCACCCTTTCATGGGGTATTATTTTGAGAGCCTTTTGTTTTCAGTGGCATGTCCTCAATTAAATGTCAGAGTATCACAATGGTGATTTGATTTAATGCGGGTTTCTTGTGGAAAACAATGCATTTGTTGGGGAGCAAAATTAATGGCAGACCTGAGCGGAGCACTTATGTCAGAGAAAATACCCACACAAATTTTCTCTCTTCTTTCATCTCCAGCTCTTAAACAGAAAGACACACTCGACGCCTACGCAGGCCAGCGGCAATGGTCACCACTCCAACAGTTTGCCAGTGCATCATGCTGCCAGCTCAAGAGTGGAAAGATGGATGGGGGCTGAAAGTGCCGCTGGGGAAGGTTTGACTGCTGGGAACCAGACTGGGCCTGACAGGAGAGGAAAAGGAAAGGGAGAGGAAGAGGAGATTGCGCAGACGCGCCCGCTGGAAGTTCTCTCCGGTCATCCGTTGGGTCTGGACTCTACCCTGCAGAACATTGTTCAACAGCTGGATATTCTCACGCAGGTCAATTATCAGTAAAACTTAAAACATCAGCTTAAAATACTGACAGGGAGTGTCAAATATCATATATGTAGGAAACAAATCCTCCCAGTGAAGTGTTTTCTCCCAGTGTTGCGCCACATTTGCTGTTCAAAATGCAAAATCCAGATTGTCCATTTCTTTCTGAAAATGTCAGTCACACCATTTTTAAGCACAAAATTTATGCACACAAGAGAATTTTTTGAGTTGGCTGGAGAACAATCTAGAAAATATAAATGTTTAATTTTTAAAGACTTTAAAGTAACATAGCTAGAAACATACTGATGAAACAGTGGCAGCATCAAGGCCAAAGTGTTGCTGTCCTGACAGAATGTCCTGGTGTGTCACAAGAGCTGTGTGTCTCTCAGCTGTTTCTCTTTGGCTCTTGTTTTCCATAATGGTAAAAGGATTGATTTCAGAGCACTTAGACTGATCTTTGCTCGTCTGATTTCTACTTCTATAATTATTCTTTGACTGCTGTGTTCTGCTCTCCCACCCCCACCACTTCACACAGACTGTTTCAGTGTTGGAGGAGCGTCTCACCCTGACTGAGGACAAGATGAAGGCGTGTCTCCTCCACCAATCCCAGATTTTGAAGGACGTGCGAGCATCCGGAGCGAGGCGGAGGACGGAGAGCGAGGGGACGGATGGATCACCTGTCCATTTCACTTGAGGGGCGACCTCACCCTCTGTCAGACTGCAGCACAAACACCACACTGTGTTGTACTGCACAACCCCAAGACTGCTGAACAACATGGGTGTGTGTGATGTTGAACCACCACGGTGGTCTTTCTCAGGCGTCGGTGGGTTAATCAGGATTTGGGCTGTGATCAAAGAATGTTTTTGACTGCTTTCCTCTGTGTGTGTGTGTGTGTGCGTGTGTGTGTGTGCGCGCGTGCGTGTGTGTGTGCGGTACATCCAATCTGGACAGCTGCAGCTATGAAAACAGATGGTGCTTGTCTGCCATATGAGCTTTTTGTGCTTATGCTTTTACATGAGTATACTTGTGAATTAGCAGATGTTTTAGCAGTTCGGTGCTTCAGCAATAACTTTTCATAGTATCTGTTTACATCTTTGCATAATGCCACGTAATTTTAAGCCAAGCTGTACACATATTGCCTAAACTCCACCTCCTCATGCAAACACTATTTATATGAATAAACAATTTCTTATTTTGCACTAATTCTGTTAGTACTGTCTTTATCTTTGTTTGGAGAAAAGCTGATAAAATCCCCTTGCACACAGTTGTCATGAAAACAGAGAAAAGTAATATTAACAAGCTACAAGACTAAAATATCTACATTGTGGAGTATTAATTTTGAGCAATGAGAACTTGCACACATTTAGTTCCTTCATTTTCAAACCTGCATTTTGTTTTCACAGTTCAGTGGTAAAAACTTATTTTGTTTTCTGAATTTAATCAAAAATATGGCCACAGTCACAGACCTTTAGCTTTAAAGGTCATACTAGGAAAACATCAGAAAGTAAGATTACACTGAGACTAGTTAACCCTATAGAGTCCATATAATGCCATGCATTTTTAAATGATGTGTAAAGAATGAGCAGTGCCTCATTACTGACATAGAGAATCACAATTTTGAGCAAAAAAGAGTAGCTTACCAACATTAGATTTTGAATTGGCATATAAAATTCTTGACAACTTTTAGTGTCTCTTAACTTGAAGTGCTTTTTCCATGTTTCCATGTTGTTTTTATTTGGCGGGTGGCAGACATTTTCCTGTACATGAGTCTTGTTTGTCAGCTGGTAGAGCTTATCAGATGATTTGTGTCATATTGCCACTGTGACTGTAAAATGCTCTTCCTTGCTCTCGCCCAGTGTACCGCCTATAGGTTTTTATGTTTTTCCAGCGGTGGAGATGTGGTTAGCAGCGTGGCTGGGGTTGGAAGGAAGCTGTAAAAAAAAAAAAAGCCACACAAAGAGGGAGCTCTCTGCTGGTTGCTGTTTGCCCTCCCCACCACATCCTTCCCTTCCTCTATGGCTTTACTGGTTTTCCTCCTCCTGCTCCTTTTTTATTTCCTGATTACATAAAGTGGTTTAGCCTGCTGAGATGGGGCCCAAGTCCAGTTCACCCAAAGCAGAGAGACGACCCATTACACGCAACATTAAAAAGACAAAATGCTAGAATGGGTAAAACAGAAATGTTTTTTTAAAAAAGCGTCCAAGGTTCTTCTACAGTCCTACCATCTACAAGAGTTTTATTACAGGGTTACCACAAGCCAAGAACAAAATATCAATTTCGGCAGTTTTTTTTCAATCTGAATTCTGAAAATCTTTATCTGCTGAAATAGATAATGCATCCAAATGCATGTCACCTACAAGACATGTCAAATGTCTCAGTCTGCATGATCCATCAGTCTGTTCCTTCAACTATTTTCTGCCACTTATTTAAAGTTAGGTCATGATGGCAGCAGGCTAAGCAAGGTAGTCCAGACATACTCTCCCTAGCAATGTTTTCCAGCTCTTTGTTCAGGATCCCAAGCTGCTTCCATCGCAGATGTAGTCTCTCCAGCATGTTCTGGGTCTATCTTGGTGTTTCCTGTAAATCTGGACAACCCCAGAAAAATTACAATGAAGGCGTCCAGGATGTAGCCTGGTCAGATGCCCCAATCTGGCCAACTGGCCCTTTTGTACATCAAGAGCAGCCCGTAGCAAAGCAAAATTGAAGATGAGATCTCCTTTATGTTACATCTCCTAGATATAAATGAGTACTAATCGAGACTAAAGTAGTTTTCTCATTCTTCTCAAATGTCTCTCCTGAGAAATAAGTCTCATAGTGAGCACTATGTCCATCCATTATCTATACACCGCTTAATCCTCACTAGGGTCGCGGGGGGGCTGGAGCCTATCCCAGCCAACTTACGGCGAAGGCAGGGGTGAGCACTATGTGAGCTCTCTAAATTTTCTCAATTCAGTCTCTTTTCCTGATCTCAGTGAAGAGAAAAATGAGACATACTGTGCCGCTCTCAAGTCTGTCTCAATTTGATATCCTTACTTTCGAACCCCTATCTCAGTTATGTCTCAGTGAGAAATATACATGGTTCTGTCTCACACTGCTCACTAATCAAGTTCTCAGATTAGTCTCTTTTCTAGCATTTCAGGACAAAGAAAAATGAGAGTAGTGCAAGCTCTCAAATAAGTCTCAATATGACACGATTATACCTCAATCATATATCAGTTTATCTCAAGAAAATAAGTAACCAATTCAATCAATTGTGAACAACACGGTTCCAATTTTGTGAAAGTATATCTGTTTTTACTTAGAATAATTCATCATCTACTCCCTTGCTGAGAAGTCAGGTTTTAACTGTAATTTTTCCAAAGAAGGATTGTGTTCGGGGATCACGTGATGCGTCGGCCTGAGTTGACGTAGAAAGTTTGGCTCCCTGCTGGATTGCGGCGAATATTATATTTTTAACAACTTTCAACCAGTGAAAAGCCGCCTTGATTGCAAGCTATATCTACGATGTCCCTAGAAAACTTTCTCACGCAAGCTGGGTCGCACAAGAAGAAAGACGGACGTAGGAAAGGAGGTATAAGTAATGCTAATGCTAATGCTACCTCGGATAGCCGTGACCATGTCGTGGTTGACCCGGAGGAGAACACACGTGAGGTCGGGAACGATGAGTCAAGCACACACGAGACAAACTGATTGTGGAGAGTGTCACTGCTAACATAGAGAAGATGCTCAATGTTAAACTAGCTAACGTAATAAAGCCCATCAGCGAAGTGGCTGAGAAACTGGACGGCTTAATCGAGAGGATGGGAACGGTAGAACAGCGGGTCTCCGACCTGGAAGACGAGTGGGCTACCACTACGCCCCGGGTGGGAGCCTTTGAGACTCAGCTAAAGAAAGCACTGGAATGCCTGGAAAACTTTGAAAACCAAAGCCGACGGCAGAGCGTGAGGATCATAGGGCTGAAAGAAGGAACGGAGGGCAAATCACCGATCGACTTTTTTGAAAAATGGATACCAGACGTCCTGAACATGCAGAATGGTAGCATTCAAATTGAGAGAGCCCACCGCACGGGACCGCGGATGACACTCGCCGGCAAAGAGGGTCCAACAGCCGTCCTGGTGAGGCTGCATAAATACACCGACAGACAGAGAATCCTGTACGCGGCGAGGAACAACGGTACGATAAAAGCCAGCGGTGGAAACGTGTCTTTCTAACAAGATTTCTCCATGGAGGTCGTGAGGAGGAGGAAGGAGTCAGCAAACGCCCGCAAAATGCTGAGAGAAGCCGGGATCAGGAACTCCTTCTTTTATCCGGCTATCATCAAGATTTTCCACCCTGACGGTTCCAGCTCTGCCTTCTCGACCTTGGAAGAATTCAACGATTATATTAGCAAACTGCCTCCACCAAAGTAAACTCCTAGCTTGGAGATGAGTTGGACTGTGAATGCTATCGGTATGAATGTTCTGGGAAATTCACAGTTCAGAACGCATCTTGAATCTTAACCTGTTGAAGCTTGGTGGTACAAACAAAACAAAACAAACAAAAAAACAAAACACTGGTATCACAATAGCAGAGGGATGTCTGTATTCTTGCTGGTCAATTGAACCCCACAGTTGTACTTCATGCAAGGTAAGGGTACAACTAGGTAAGTTAAGCTGTCATTAGGGTCCGAGGACCCCTACTTGCTGCAGCAAGTCCTATTGTTCCTGTTGCGTTTCTTTCTTTCTTTATTAGGGTCCGAGGACCCCTACTTGCTGCAGCAAGTCCTATTGTTCCTGCTGCGTTTCTTTCTTTCTTTATTAGGGTCCGAGGACCCCTACTTGCTGCAGCAAGCAGGGGTCCTTGCCCGCAGGCAAGGACCCTATTGTTCCTGCTGCGTTTCTTTCTTTCTTCTTATTTGCCTGACCAACGCGAAAACCTTAATTTGACCCCCTAAACAAGCTCAAAAACTCACCAAAAGTGGCACACACGTCCAAATCGGCGAAAAATTTGATAAAATGAAAAAAAAAGACAAAAATGCTCTCTAGCGCCACCTAGTTACAGAAAAACACACTAAAACGGCCCTAACGGCCAGTAGGAATGTCGTACAGAGATCAAACCAACACCAAAACGTTCGTCTCAATGAGACCCACAAATCTCGTGCTGACACCCCTGACCTATCTCTAACAGGAAGTCCACAATTTGCCTTTCAAAGTAAAAAAATGAGCGAAAACCTCGTTTGGGAAAATATTATCTTGTCTGACACCGTAAATCGTACCAACTTGAAAATCGCACAGGAGACAGAGAAGGCCTTGATGTACAAAAGTTCTGAAGGGATTTGGCATTTCTCAACCGGTTTTCGAATGGCGAGCCGTTATAGTTGATGAGCTGCCGCAGCCTCGGCTCATACTTTGTATGGCTGTCTATGGGGGCATGTGCCGACATGCTGTGTCAGTTGGTCATCTACACAAAAAACTAAAGGTCCTACAGCTTTAAAAATGACATGGAAGGCTTCCAAACAAGATTTACCACAAAAATATGCTGTTTTTACACACATTTGGTGAAAATTGTGGCTGTATGGGAGAGTTAAAGTCAGTAAAACTCTCAGCTCTCTCACCCAGACATGAAGAACGATGACATCATCACAGCTCAGTGCAGCTGGTCATGTGACTCACTGACAGTCTGAGGCTGAGCAGAGAGAGAAAAATGGCTCCTTCAACTTAAACCAGGTTTCAATTGTGTCAAAATGGAGGTCAGACGGGCATGAGGGTCCAACGCAGACCGAGGACCTGACCAACGCTGCTTGCAGCTTTAATTTAGATTAGTTTTTCTTTTTTCTTTTTCTTTTTCATGACTGTGTCATGTGTTAAATTGTTGATGATTCCAAGCTTTTGGTTATGTTCATGCTTGGAACACATTCCTAAGTTCAATGATGTTAACTGTACAGCTGAAGCTACAAATTGGTCCATTTTATGTTTAATGGTTAAAGTTGCATACACCGCGGGATTCATAACACAACCTGTTGATGTCAATTAAGATAAGTACCTGGAATATCAGGGGCTCTAACAATGTGGCAAAGAGGGAATCTGTCCTGAACTCTCTTAAAAAAGATAAGATTCAAATAGGTTTTCTACAAGAAACACATCTTGCTGATGAGGAGCACAAAAATATCATAATGAATGGGTTGGTCAGATTTTCTTCTCATCACATTTAACAAACAAGAGGGG